CGTTCTGCGCCTGCGCAATGGGTGGTACCTCGGCTGTGGGCCGCTCGCGCGGGCGCGCCTGGGGGTCCGTTGTCGCGCCGTCGGGGGTGGGATGGCGCCACGGCCGGGAAGAGGGCGGGGGCGGCTCCCGGAGCGCTCCGGGGACAGCTTCGCTCTTGGGATCAGCCCGCGCCTACCGCCCTGGACACGGGCTTCGCGCTTCCCATTGTTACCTCACGGCGTTCTGCGCAGTTTTTCAGGTCACTAGCCCGAGAGAGGGACCGAGAGAGAGGGAGCACAGAGACAGAAAGAGGAGAGAGACGAGACAGGAGAGAGAGAGAGACAGACAGAGGAAGGGAGGGAGGGGGAGAGAGACAGGAGGGGGAGACAGAGATGAAAGAGGGAGAGAGCGAAAGAAAGATGAGAGGGAGAGATGACAGGCGGGGAGAGAGGAGACGGAGAGAGCGAGAGAGACACAAGAGACGGGAAGAGAGACAGGATTCAGAGAGCGAGGAGACAGCGCGCTCTCAGAGACAAGGTAGCTCCAGCAGGTGCCCGACACGTTCCCGCATCTCCCCAGCGTTCATCACCCCACTTCACCTTTCTAACCCGTGGAGTCAGAAAATTCATTTTCAGTTTCTCCACTGAGAAGCTTGATGAGAGTTAACCCTCTCCTGTCCTAGCTCCTCTAAGTACACCTAAACCATTGTATCCACTCCTGTGGTGAATACCCAGTGCTTCCCGTGGTGGGTGTTGCCAGAGCATTCAGGTCTTATGCTTTTATTCAGTAGATTACAGAAAATATAGTAAGAAATCAAGACAGTATTAGTCAAAACCCGAGACAATCTCAACCGTCTTCGTCAGCTACCTAAAAGGCTATTGAAGTATGGATTCCAGGAATAGCCAGAGGCACTTTATCCTTTCAGTTTTACAGGTCCATTTTAACTTTAATACTTTTAAATTTTAAGCACTGCAGTCATCCTGATAGCTTTTTAACTTCCAGTCAAAATACTATGTTGTGACTATCTTTCTATACCAATAAATGCACTACACTTAAGATGTTTCCTCTAGATTTTAATATGATTGTCAACCATCTGTTTTCTCTGTGCTGCTCACTGCGAAAGCATTATACACGTGGAAGAAAACAGAAATAGGACTTTATTGACTTTATTTTCTAAAAAGCCCTCTGTAGACCCTGCGTGGTGGCGCACGCCTTTAATCCCAGCACTGGGGAGGCAGAGGCAAGCGGATCTGTGTGAGTCTGAGGCTAGCCTGGTCGACAAAGCGAATTCCAGGCCAGCTAGGGCTACAGGGAGACTCTGTCTCAAAAATACCAAAAGAAGTTTTTTTTAAAACCTACCGTGAAGGAAGGAACAGCATGAATGCTTCAGAGAAGCAGACAGGGGAAATGTATGGTCACCCCAAAACAGGAATGGACCCAAAGAGAAGCCATGTTCTAGCAGAAGGAAGTTACCTTATCAAAAAGGAAGGAAGGTAAAGGTCAGTGGTGGGGCTGGCCTGTGGTCGCAACTCTTGGGAGACTGAGGCAGGAGGATCTCCAATGCACAGCAAGACCTAATCTCAAAGACAGACAAGATGTGAGAAGGGTAGGAGAGGGAGGGAGAAAGGGAGAAAAAGCTACAGCTGTGCCTTCCTTCAAGGACTATGCCTTAGAGGTCCATAGAGTTCCCAGCACTACCAAAGATAAGCAACATAGAAGAGTGAGGGCAGAGAACTGGATGAACACAAACTGCCACCGCAGCGCAGCACTGACCATCAGTGTGACATTTCCGGTTTATGGATGGTGATCATGCACTCTACCGATGATAATATTGGCCTGGAAAAGAGAGAATTAACATTCAAATGCAAGAGTCAATGCTTAAAATCCATAAACCTAAAAATCAAAAGCCAAGGTGCTCAGGCCTCCAAAAATGTGAGCAGTGGGAAACTTAGCTGCTTTGGGTCTCTGTCCATACACTTCCAACATACGTATTTCCAGTAATGTCCTTTGATAGGATATTGAAAAAACAGGTAAATAGTGGTAAATAATTTACATTTCATTATAAGCGTAGGGAAGGGGAAGTAATAAAACATGAATTCTGGGATGGGAGTGCAGCTTAGTGACACAGTGCGAGCCTGGCACATGCCAAGCACTGTGATGTTCCATCTGCAGCACCAGTAAGTAAATAAATCATGTCATTTTTGACAACCTTTCAGTGCTCAGGTAAGAATTCTTGCTTGAACACCTTCTGTCTCAAGCACTAAGAGGAGGTCTTAGTCATTGAAGTACTCTCCAGCAGAGTTAAGGCCCTTTTTGATTTAGGGTTTGATGGCTGTACACTTTAAATACCCCCATTGTCTCTTGTCACATTAGCCTTCACATACATATAATAAAGAGAACATAAGACTTTCCAGAGTTAGAAGTCTCCTGTAGATCATTGCTAGGTCTTTAAAGAAAACAGCTCTGACTGGTGCCATGATTACAGTGGCAGCGAACCACAGAAACTGCGCCAAGAGAATCTACCTAACCATTTCATTATAAAGGTTCGTTTTGCCTGAGGAGAAAAAACAAAAACACCCAGTTCAGTGATGCATTGGAGCTTGTAAACTCAAACTTGTGGAATTGGGAGGGATCTAGGAGGCTCTGGATTATCAGAAGAGAAAAACCTGTTGGAGTGTTGGTGCTGCCTTAAACCAAGTTTGAGCCCAGATTTCTATCTCATTTCAGATCCAACCATGACATTTAGTTAAATGGTGCTATCAGATAAACGTAGCTTAGGATGACTATACATTAGTCTAGGAAAAGCAGCCCAGGTCATATACACAGAGCCCCAGATCTTTGCTGAATGTGACCAGGGTAGTTGGAACTGCACATAGCCGCTCTTCACTTTTTCTGAGGCCCACTGAAGGGTTTCTAGGGCAGATAATAGGCTGCCCACTTCCCAGCTAGATCCCCAAAGGTCATAGCTTGCCAGCCACCTTTTCAGATGATTATTTCTGACGTTCAGAATGGTTGGCCAAGGAGCAGCAAGACTAGTGTGAGACTGGGTCTTGCCTTCCCAGTGCTGGCTTTTCACAGCTGAAAATTCAAGAGCCATTCATCCTTTTAGTTTTGGAGAGTTATAGAAATAAAACAGCCCTGTTGATTAAACCCTCTGATGAGACACTGCCCTGTTCATTTACAAAGGGTAAGTACTAGGACTTTTCTAGTTAGGAAAACTCTTCTCTTCTGCAGCACAGGATGATATATACATGTATGTTCAGAGTGCTAAGGGGCCTAAAATAGTTCATGTAAAGGATTACACACATACACACCTTCCAAAGGTCACCCATATCCATGGGTTCCACATCCATGGATTCAGCCAATATTTGAAACATTCAAAAATATTTGGAGGGAAGCTAAGGGCTATTTCAGAGTTTGCTTATTCGGGTTCATTGCAGCCCTAACAACCAGTCTGTGGTCAACAGCCCTTCTACAAGAATCTTTACACTTGCTGTAAATAAGTGCATGCAAGTCTAACTGCAGTCCCTCAAGTGTTTTCAGCTTGCAGTTGTCAACATACAAAATTCAGCCTAACTTGAGATTGGACTTAACACTGTGAAAGGTCAGCATGCATTGTTGTGTAATTAAGAATGTACTTCCTGGGATGGAAAGATGGCTGAGCAGGTAAGAGCACTTGCTGCTCTTGCAGAGGACCTAAATTCAGTTCCTAGCACTCACAAACACATACCCAAAGAATGTTCTCCATCAATGTTTTTCAACAGAATTGTGTTGAAAAGCCAGGCATAGTAGTACATGCCTGTAATCTTAGCACTTGGAGGCTTACGCAGGAGGATCTCCATGAGTTTGAGACCAATATGTCTTACATAGTGAGACCCTGACAATAAATAAATAAATAAATAAATAAATAAATAAATAATAAAATAAACCATGGTTTAGAAAAAAATGGTAACTGTGTCTCCATATCTTTGTGACAAATTTCTCTGGGATTTCAGACCCAGGAAAAAAAGTTTCTTTTGCTTCTTTTGTTTCCTGCTGAGCTATGAAGATCATATAAAAACGTTGTTGCCAACTGCTAAGGAATTGGGTGCAGATCTTAGGGGTTCCTTCCTTTCCAGGACAAATACATTGCTTTAGCAATGTTAGCTGCAGCTTCAAGATACAAGATATTTAAGTCAAGGGAACTGTAAGGTAGATCAGTTCAGGTGTAGAGTACAAGCCCTTGAGGAGTGACAGGGGAGACCTAACCTCTTACCCTCAGGGACTGCCCAGGATTAAGAGAGGACTGGTAAGAACTCTCTGAAAGGGCTTGTGCAGTGCTTTCCATCCGGCCCTTTTCTTTGATTGGCCTCAAGCCTTGTGAGAGGTGCTCAGCAGTCTACCAGCCTCACAGAGACTGAATAAGTTGGAGTTCACTAAATGTGTTGGTAGATGCTGAAGAAGTCTGTTCCAAAGAATCAGATAAGCCTGGACTTGCCAAAGGTTCTGCCCAGCTGTGTCAACTAGAGGGGTGAACAAGCCTCAGCAGAAAAACAGTAAGAGTCAACATCATCCTGGGTGCTGTGGATAGCATATGTGCCCCCCGAAGTACACACCAGAGCACCCAGGAAAGAATTTCCATGTCTCCAAATAGCCACAGAATCTTCCCAGAAGAGTCAATCCTCACCCAGGTGGTGAGAACCAGGACTGAGAACTTTCTGACTTCACTTCCCTCTCCAGCTTCTGTGCCAACACAAACAGGGTGAGAAGCTGCAGTTCAGAAACAGTGTGATGGCAAAGGCCTTTAATCAGGAGGCAGAGGCAGGCAGATTTCTGTGAGATAGAGGCCGACTTGACCTATATAGCAGGTTCCAGGCCAGCTACAGGGAGACCCTGTTTCAAAAACAACAAAAATGAAAAAAAATGAAACAAAACGAGAGAAAAAGAGAGGAAAGAAAGGGAAGGAAGGAGGGAGGGAGGGAGGGAAGGAAGGAAGGAAGGAAGGAAGGAAGGAAGGAAGGAAGGAAGGAAGGAAGGAAGGAAGGAAGGTAGGTTGGGGAAAGAGTGGAGAGGAGATCATTTGGAAAGAAATCAACCTCTTCTCTTTCCCACAAGCCAGACACACCCCCTCTAGGCAGGCTTTACTGAGGTGTGGGGGTAACTAAAACTTCAAATGAAGGTTCAAGCTTTGATAATGTGATTAATTTCTGAAATGAGGCTGTGTTCTGTAGTTAACAGAGGCCTAGTGGGATTTAGAATTACCAAACGAGGACTAGAAAAGTCAGGGGCTTGCTAGGACTTTCATCTCTTCAGAGGAATAACTAACTCTCCACAAAGCCAGGTTAAGGAACTGTTCAAGGAACAGTTGAATAAAATTAAACTTGCTATATAATTGGTATGCTCTTGTTCAAATTACCAATTATGCTGTGCTGAAAACAGGTCATGATTTCAACCACCTGTCAATGAACAATTGGAGCTCTATTACCCTGAAACAAAAAGATACTTGTTACACTGAGACAATGTTGGCAGAGATGGGTCCCATCTTGTGATGGCTTCAGCAGACTGTTATTCACCACACGCTGCCATGCCTCCCTCCTTCCACTGGACTCGTTTCTTTCTCTCTCTCTCTCTCTCTCTCTCTCTCTCTCTCTCTCTCTC